GAACCAAATTTGACACAAAAATAAAAAAAAAATAGAAAAACAATCATAAGGGATGAAATTAAAAAACATTTTCAATTAAGAAAAATGACAAGAATAACTAAAAATAACAATTAAAAAAATGAAGATCATAATTGATATAAAAATAAAATGTCAAAAGATGAAATTCAAAGACAAATTAATTCAATAAAGGATTAAAAATAAAAAAAAAACATTATAAGTAAAAGAACGAACACCAAATCTAATATAAAAACAAAGTATAAAGGGATGCAACTGAAAAAATAATTAACATACTAAATGATCCAAGAACAAATATATTGCAATTAATAAAACAAGGATCAAATCTGATATAAAAATAAAATATCAATTGATGAAATTGAAAAAATAAATTAACTCAATATCTAATTCAAGATCAAATACATTATAACCAAAAGAACGAGGACTTAATTTAACTTAACAAACAAATAACTAATTTTTTTTAATTTTTGTACAATGGCCAACATGTTTTTTTATATGAAGAAAGGGAAAAGAGGGAGAAAGGGAAAAACACATTATTAACGCCTTTCCATGCATGGCCTGTGAACACACTTTATTATCATAACAGGGGTGGTGAGGCACATTAAATGCTACCCCAAACGATGACATTTGATATTGTGTGAGCACTGTACGTGCCACCTGAAACGTGCGGCAGGGCCTGCTTGCTAGTACGTGCTATTCGAGTAACAACTTTCTAAATTTAAAATGAATTTATATATATTAAAATATCAAATTACCTCTAACCTCACATGATAATTACAAAAAAAAAAACCTAAAATGACCTTGCATCCATAGTAGAGAGAGTTTGTTTTTTTGGGACATTTAAGTAATTGACATGCACATAAAAATGAAAAAAATAATTCTAAAGCTCATACACCAAAGATAATTTTTTTAAGGGTTATTTCATAATTACATTGTAGAAAAAATATGAAATTACTAATTAACACCCTTCTTTAATGTAATTACTGATAAGCCCCGTGGAAAAGATCTATATATTCCCAAAGCCAACTTTGCCCACAAGAGCAAAATCAACCTTTTACTGTGGATTTGCATAGTAAAAAGTTGATGCTTTTTAATTATAGTTAATATAAAGGGAAAAATAGGAAAAACATTGTGGACTTGCATATTATTTTTTCTACATGGTTTAGATTATAAGTAATGCTGGTATTGGTCTGTGCTTCATAACGGGTAAATATCATTTTTTTTTAAATGTAAAAAAATATTAAAAGTATAAAGAATATTTTAAGTGTATTGGGTCTGACAACTATACGAGATCTAAGTGCCCTGATCAACGACCCTTGAGTTTGGCGATAATGCTAGACCCAAATGACTTGGATCTAGTGAGCATGCAAGAACCATGTCTGATTAGGTGATAATTAAAATGTTGAGACTTATAATTTTTTTTTATTTTTTATAAAAAAATATTTAAACTATTATTGAAGTATCCTAAACATAAATGTTATTCTTTCAATATAAATTCTATATTCTCTATTCTTTTCTCTCCTTTTTAACTATTTTTTTTAACTCAATGCCTGAGTATTGCATGATCCA